TCTCTATGGCATTTTTTAAGCTCTCCCATATGTACATCAAATGCTGTCATCGAGTGAATCCCAACTCTTAGCAACCCTCTGTAGGCTTGCTGAGACTGTGCATCTTTGTGAGAGCAGACGGCCTCATCTTTCTCCCATGGAAGGGCTCATGGGTTTGAACTGATGACCTTCTGGTTAGCAGCCCAATGCTTAACCCACCCACCACCAGGGATCCCTTTACTAAGAGCCCCCAAACCCAAATCCGCTGCCATCAAGTCAATAGGACAAACTAGAGCTCTCCCTTCAAGCTTCCAAGGTTGTAAATCTTCACAAGACCAGACAGCTTCATCTTCCTCCTGTGGAGTAGCTGGTGGTCTGAACCATGGACCTGGTGGTTAGCTGTCCACCACTTAACCTGGCAGCGCTGCCAGGGCTGTTTGTACATGTACGTACACATACGTACATATCCATGTACATGCACACACACATACATACAACTCAAACTCACTGCCATCGACCCTATAGGACAGAGTAGGACTGCCCCTGGGGGTTTCTGAGACTGTAACTATTTATGGGAGTAGAAAGCATCTTCTTTTTCCTTTTGAGTGGCTGGTTGTTTTGAACTGCTGACCTTTTGGATTGCAGCCCAATGCATAACCACCAAACCACCAAGGTTCCCGCATATACATACACATACGCTTGTACATATACTTACAAGAAAGCCTCAAAAAGTTCTAGAAAAAAAATCCATTATCTTTTAATTACATTTTCCTGCAACTAAGGTCAACCGTTCAAAACCACAAGCCGCTCTTCAGGAGAAAGACAAAGCTTTCTACTCCTGTAAAGTTTTCCTGTTTTGGAAACTCAGAAGCAGTTCTATCTTGCCCTGTATGGTTGCTGTGAGTCAGCATCAACTCGATGTTTGGTGTGTGTGTGTGTGTGTGTGTGTGTGTGTTTGTGTGAAGAGAGAAAGGGAGGAAATGTGCAGGTGTACATAATCCTGGATATCAGTGGCATTGACGACGCTGCCCATCTTTCCCAAACCACCCAGAGCCATGCCACTTCCTAAATAGCTCCCGTGATTTTTTTTCTTTTAGTAGCTTTCTTGATATAATATTTACATATCATGTATTTCCAAAGTTAAACTACTTCTAAAAAGAGTTGTATTTACATCATCACAATCCACTCCATCTCCTGAATCCTGTGATCACGCCCCAGTTCCCCTCTCTTCCCAATAAACCGTTGTATCAGTTATTGTCTGTATGCATCCTAGACTGGGAGACCTAACAAAAACAATAACAATAAAACCAAAATGAAACAGAAAGAAGAAAAACAACAACAATAATATAAATATAAAAATAAAGAGTAAGAAAGCAAAAACCACCAAAACTATTTTAAAAGCCAGAGAAGAAATTTCTTTCTTGGAACAATTGAGAAATATGAGTGTAGAACTAATTCAGGTTGGGTAAGGAGAGAGGCCAATTGACCAAATATCATATTATTACCATGGCTCGATCCACCATAATCAAGGTTATAGTAATTTCTGACTGATAGTAAAACTGTCTGAGTCCCTCACCTATGACTAGAGTTATTTGCCAGAAACCCAATCCAAGCAGACACTGCAGAGGGATTTTGTGCCCCACAGTCCTCCATAACCTTCTACAAGTTGGGCGTCACCATGTACGCTCTGGGACTTTTCCCGTCATCATTTTTGGGCTTTGTTGCTGTCATCTTTGGATCACACAGGCTGGTGTGCTTCTTCCGTGTGGACTGCTTAGTTGATGCCGCACTTAGATGGCTGTTTGTTTGAATACAAGCCTTCAAGACCCAGACACGATTCCAAGTGATAGCCAGGCACTATCTGCTTTCTTCACCACACTTTGCTGCAGTACCTTTACCTTCAATGATCTCTTCGTGAAGGCGAATGTCGAGTCAGGGTCTGTTATAAAAACCAGCTCTTCTTGGATTAAGGCTAGAATTATGTGGGCATCCAGAATCCATCTACTTGTCCCTGGGTTATGAATGACTCTGGTTTACTTTGGCGGTCATATTATGACAAAAACAATAAACAATACCAGAAACAACAAGATCAACAATAACAACAAAAAGACAAGAACAAAACCAGTTTATGAGAATATAGTCCAACTGTAAAATGCAATCCATGAGATATTGCTTTGTACAGATTGATTTCTTAATTGATTGAGCTCTGTTTATATTGAGCATGGGGCTTGGTGCCAGGTGAAAATTTCCTGTATCATCTTTACAAAGGGCAGCTCTTTGTGACTTCTTAGAAAGGCGGAGTTGACAGCCCTCTATAGAAATACAGGTGGAGGAAGCCCGGGGAAGCCCCTCTGGTCACTGACGGACCCGGGGTGTGAAAGCCTTGCTCTCGCGTGGAGTGCACTGGGACTAGGGTTGTTGCAGATGCAGTCAGGTTAAAAAGCACTCTCACATTACATCTCCCTTATGCTCCATTTAAATTTATTCTAGTTTTTTAATATTTTCTGCTTTCTTTTCCATTGAGTTTTTTACGTTTTAATTTGTTATTCTTGTTAGGGGCTTTGTGTGTGTTTCGGGGGGCTGTATTTTAATGTTTTTCTGTATATGAAATTCTGGATAGGCAAAATTTAGAAACAGTAATTGGATTAATGATTCTTTGGAAGTATGGCAGGGTGGTTGGGTGAAATGGGGCGATAATGATAGTACAAGAATGAAGAAAATGTACTAAAACTGGTTGTGGTGATGATCGTACAACTCTTCCTGATGTGATTGAACTATCGAATTGTATGATATGTAAAGTATGTGCCAATAAAACCGATAAAAGCAAAAACAACAAACACCCACTGCTACTGAATCGACTCTGAATCATGGCAGCCCTATGGGACAAAGTAGAACTGCTCTCTGGGGTTTCTGAAACAGGAACTCTTTATGAGAGTAGAAAGCTCGTCTCCCTAGAGTAGCACGTGGTTTCAAACCGGTGACTTTACTGTTAGCACCTCAAAACTTAACCCACTGCAACCAGGCTTCCTCCTATTAGAACCCCCAAACCCTAACCCACCCCAGCCAAGTGGAGGAGACAAAGTAGAATGCTCTGCCTTTTGGGTTTCGGGGCCTGTCAATCTTTGCAGGAACAGAGAACCTCATCTGTTTTTTGGAGGAGAGGCTGGTGTGTTTGAACTAGTGACCTTATGGTTAGCAGCCCAGTTTGTAATCCACAACACCACCAGGGCCCCTTTTATTTAGAACAGGCTCCTGTTACTAAGAACCCTTATCCTCCCACCATCACCACCAAACTCACTGCCGTGGAGTCGATGCTGACCCATAGCAACCCTGGTAGCACAGCGTAGAACTGCCCCTGTGGGTTCCCGAGACGTGACTCTTTATGGGAGCAGACCTGCTGGTGTGTCGGAAATGCTGGCCTTGCCGTTAGCAGAGCAGTGTGTCGCCCACTCCCCCACCAGGGCTCCACCGTTGACTGAAAATTTAAATGCCCTCTTTATTTTTTTGTAGCATCAGCTTCTCCATTTTGGGATGATCTACATGGCGCCTCGGCTGTAACCATGGTGACGCGGGTCCAGGTGGGGTCCCTGACATCCCAGACTGGAGTGCCAGGCCTCACTGAGATCACCAAGGAGGCGACTCTGAAGAGGACCTACTTCTGCCAGACAGAGGACTCCCCAGGGGCTCCCTCGGCCAGGCATTTGGAGGGGAAAAGCCCCTTCAGGAGCCCAGGTCACTTGTTCCCACTGCCGAGACTTGCCCCCAAACCCTTCTCCAAGGAAAAGGCCCCTGATGTGTCTCTGAGGCCTGGTCTGAGCAGGCCATCTTCCTCCGGTGGCCCCTGCGAGGGCGTGGGGGCGCAGGCTGTGGACGCGAGGATGTCCATGTTGGTGGGCCAGGAGGGTCCGAGGAGTTCTGCTCTGTTCCACAAGGCCACCTTCCTGCGGCCCAGCCCCAGCGCCATGGCTCGCTGTGAAACCTCCCCAACCAGGCCCACTCTGGGAAAGGAGAGGGCTGCGGGGTCCCAGGAGCTCCCTGCTGGCTCCCCGCCTGAGGTGGCTGCCAAGCCGGCCCTGCCGCCCAGAAAGCCCATGGGGGCCCTGCCCCGATCCACTCCCCAGTCAGAGGAGACAAGGCCAGCTGTGACCCCAGAGGCCAGGGGCCCCAAGGAGCCGCTTTGGAAGGCCAGCAGCGTGGAGGAGGCCAGACCTCGCCTGAACAGAAGGCCTCTGTCGGCCATCTTCCTGGAGTCAGCCCAAGGTGGCGCAGTCTTACTGGGGAGGCCTCCGCCCGCCTCTCCCGAGAAGACGTGGGCGAGGAAGCCCCGGCCCCTGTCCGTGGAACTCACAGCCCCCTTTGAGAGCAGAGGGGGCTTGCTTCACAAGGTGGCCAGCGGTGGAAATGGGACTCCAGTTGGTCCCGCCTCCTGGAATCGGGGAACCGACAGGCCCATCCTGGAGGCGAGCACGGACATAGGAACACGTTCAGCCAAAGCAGAGAGTCCCCTTCGTGAGGAGGGTTCAGATTTCCTGGAGGTGACCCCGCGAACCCGGGACCAGAAGGAGAGGATGCTGTTTAAGGCGGTGGAGACAGGCACCCCCAGGACCCCGGGGGGCTCAGCCCAAGTGGTCCCCAAAGACAACCAGGAGCTTTTCAGGGAGAAAGCCAAACTGGACAGGGAGCCCAAGGAGGCGCCCGAGTCCCCTTCTCCTGGGCCTGGAAAGGATCGAGAACCTACGGGGAGCCAGAGCCAAGTGGCCAATGGGGTCACCCTGGAGCGGGGACATGGGCCCTCCAGGGGACGCATCAAGAAACATAGCAGCAGCCTGTCTGAGGAGGAAAGTACTTTGGCCTTGGCAGTGGGGTCTGCAGTCCCCCTGGCTCCCCCTGAGACCCCCTCAGCCCCCCCTGAACCCATGAGGGGAGGTCTGAGTGTCCAGAAGCAGATCAAAGGCTGGGGGGCTGAGAGTGTGGAGGCCAAGCCGGAGGCCAGGAGGAGTGTGTTTCCGGTGCGGCCACTGTCAGTCGATCTGACCAAACTGTAAGTGAGAGCCTTGTATGGAACTTGGCCTGCTCAGCAAGGACCCCACAGCTCTGTGCCTGGCCCTTGACTTCCCCTTCTCAGTTAACTCGCCCAACCCGATCAAACTCAACCCGCCACCGGCAAGTCAATGCTAAAGACTCAGCCACCCTGCAGGATAGACAGAACTGCCCCTGGGGTGTCCTGGGCTATCAATCCTTATGGACGCCAACAACCTTGTTTTCCTCCATGCTTACCTCATAATGCCACCAGGGCTCCTTTTTCCCCGTGAAAAACTCACTGCTGACTAGTCAGTTGAGACTCACAGGGACCCTACAGGACCAATTAGCATGGCTCCTAGGGTTTCCAAAACTGTTCGTCATTACGATAACACACAGCCTCATCTTTCTCCTGAGGAGCACCTGGTGGGTTTGAACTGCTGACCTGGCAGTGAGCAGCTCAACACTTAATCCACTGCAACACCAGCTTAGTTGAGGAGGTCAGGAATCTGGATTCAGGATACAGGCTTTGTGGGAAGGCAGGTTTTCTGTTCTTCAGCTTACTGAATCTGTTCTTTTTACATCTCAAAAGAGATTGATTTAAGACTGAACCTACAGGAAAACTGGGCGTCAGAGAGAATTAGAACACCGGAAGCCAAACCCATTGCATGGAGTTTCATTCTGACTCATAGTGACCCTATAGCACAGGGTAGAACTGCCCCTGTGGGATTCTGAGATGGTAACGCTTTATGGGACTAGAAAGACTTATCTTCCTCCCATGGAGCAGCTGGTGGGTTTGAACCACCGATCTTGTGGTTTGAAGCCCCACCTGTAACCCACTGTGCCACCAGAACTTAAAGTAATGACTCAGAATGATGCAGATGTTCTCAGTTTTCTGACTGGAATGATACTGGTCACATATCCTGTGAAGAAGTTTACTAAGGTCTTGGAAACCCAGGGGTGGGGTGGGGGGTGGTGGCTATGAGTCAGCATTGACTCATTGGCAGTGAGTTTGGTTTTGGAAGGTTGGCCCCGCCTCTGCTATCTCCTCCTACTTTGTTTTCCCACAGGCGGATTCTCAGCCACAACCCTCCATGTCACATGTCCCTGGGTGTGACCTGCAGGCCATTCACATACTTTGCCTAAGGTGCACGGCCCACCCAGCCCTAGAGCCCCCAGCACACAATGTCTGCTCTTTGCCTTGGGAGATTCTGGTCCAATTGATAGGAGTTGGGGCTCATGCTTTGCTAGATTTTAAAGCCCCCACCCCACCAAGTGATATCTTGTGCGGACAGGCGGGAGAAACCCGGAGTTAAAGGCACTGGGCCTAGCGGAGCTGGGACAGATGTTTGCTTGTCCAAGGCCTTCTGCCAGGGTACTCACCCCCCTAATTCCCATCAACAGGAGAGTGGAGGCTCCCAGGTTGGTAATGCCCCATCCTGGGGTGCCTGGCCCCGGGGAGACTGGCCCTGTCTTACTGCGTGTGGACTACAGCCGCTGGTTGTCAAGCACACTGATGCTCCTTCACAGGGATTTCGCAGCTGAGCCTTTTCAAAGGAGATCGCCAGGCCTTTCTTCCACGGCACGTCAGGGGTGGGTCTCACTAGTAGCTGTGTGTTGAACCACTAGTGGGTCTCCAGGGACAATTTCAGGGCTGCAACTTCCCACCTCACCCCTTTCTCTGCTGTCCCAGCCTTGAGTCAAACTCTTGCAACAGCCTTGGGCATCCACTACCAAGAATGCTCCAGAGAAGGAAAGTTCCAGCCTCTGTCTCTCTTTCTCCCCTCACTCCCCCACCGGGCGAGTCCAGAGACCGAGGCCCGTGGAAGGATATAGTGACTTGGCCAGCCAGAGAGGGAGAGACAGACCCGTGGCTCCGCATTCCCCGTTCCCGACGCTGTGACCAGGCTGCCATGGACTGTTGTTGGGCTGGGACTGGTAACCATTAATTATCCCTCATGGGGCATCTTCACTCTTCTCTAAATGCCCTCATGTAGCTATTAGGGCCTCTGGTTGCCTCTTATCTGCCCTGCAGAGGAGGTTGAGGGGGTGTTAATTATACCCGTTCTATAGGTGAGGAAACCGAGGCACAAGGGAGGCCAGCTCCTGCGCTAGGCGCCCGCAGTGAAGAGGTAGGAGAGCTGGGACTAACACCCTGGTCTCCTTGCTTCAGCCTGGGCCTCGGCCCCCACAAGATGCTGTGTTTGAGGTAGGCTCTCTTTACTGTCAGGAGCCCTGCTGGCACTGTGCATAACACTTGGGCTGCTCACCAAAAGGTCAGCAGTTCAAACTCTAGGGGAGAAAGATAAGCCTGTTTGGGGGTGGGGCAGGGGAACGATGGGGTTAGCTGCTCCTGGAAGATTGACTGCCTAGGGAACCCCAAGGGTCTGCCCTGCTTTCAGTTCTGTAGGGTGCTGTGAGCGGGACCTGACTCTGGTGCAGTGGGTTTGGTCTGGGAAGGGACTTCCTCTGGTGCCGGAAGCTGGGCAGGGTGGTTTGATCATCTGGAGGCAGATTGCACCTCCTGAGTTCTTGCACGAGTCATGGGGTGTGGGCCGGGGGCAATGGCAGCTGCCAGCCCCAGAAGAATAAATCCCATGTCTGTACCAGGTTTTCAAGTGCTGCATCCAGCCATGACGTCCAGTATGAGAAGTGTCCTGAGCCAAGTACAGAGCCTCCGAAGGACTCCAGAGCACAGGTAAGCAGTGACCGATGTGTTCCAGTGGCTCCTTCACCACCAGAGATGGAGATGCCCACTCTGAGCGCTGGCCAGCCTGGGCAGAGGGGCTCAGAGTGGAGCTGCGCCCCTGAGCACTCCCGAAGGCTGGTTTTTCCAGAAGTGGTTGCCAGATCGTTCTTCTGAGGCATGTTGAGTTGACTTGAACCTCCAACCTTTTGGTGGGCAGCACCCCCCAGGGACTTCTGGCTGCTCAGATGAACTGGAAAAAAGAGCTTTCCCGGTCTGTTCGTTGGCCTCAGGAGGCATCAGAAACTTGGCATGCGTGGTGAAAACTTTTTTCCCCTTTAATGCCAGGACTTTCAAAGGATCGTTGGGTGGATGAGAGTTCCGTTGTTGTCTGTAGGTGCCGTCGAGGATTTCTGACCCGTAGTGACCCTGTGTACAACCAAAGGAAACCCGCCTGGTCCTGCACCGCCCTCACACTTGTTAAGTCTGAGCCCATAGTTACAGCCATGTGACCATCCATCTCCTTGAAGGCCTTCCTCTGGTTTGTTGCCCATCTACTTTACCAAGCATGATGTCCTTCTCCGGGGACTGGCCTCTCCTGACAATATGTCCAAAGTACGTAAGATGAAGTCTCGCCGGCCTTGCCTCTCAGGAACATTCTGCCTGTACTTCTTTTAAGCCAGATCTGTTTGTTCTTTGGGCAGTGCATGGTACTTTCAACATTCTTCACCAGCATCACCAGCCAAGGCATCGATTCGCCTTTGGTCTTCCTTAATCAGTGCCCAACTTTCACATGCTTATGAGGTGATTGAAAATACCCTGACCTGGGCCAGGCACACCTTAGTCCTCAAAGTAACCTCTCTGCTTTTCAATTCTCTAAGTAGGTCTTATGCAGCACATTGACCCAATACAATGTCTTGTTTGATCTCTTTGCGACCCCATTGGGCAGAGTAAAACTGTCCCTTGGGGCTTCTGTAGCTGTAAATCTTTATGGGAGCAGCAGCCTCATCTTTCTCTAGAGAGGTCGGTTAGAACCACCTACCTTGTGGTTAGTAGCCCAATACCTAACCCACAGCACCACCAGGACTCGAGTGAAGGGAATATGTTTTGTGTCGATAAACCTATGTATATGTGAACTGGAGCCCTGGCAGCTGTATTCTTTGACTGACCCTCATCTATGCATAAAAACTGTCATCATAATCCAGAAAGTGGTTACGAGTTAGGCTGCAAACTGCAAGGTCAGGTGTTCAAAACCACTAGCCTCTCCTTGGGAGAAAGTCAGGGCTTTTTGCTTCCATCAACAGCTACAGTCTCAGAAACCCACGGGGGCAGTTCTACCCTGTCCTGTAGGGTCACTGTGAGTTCGCATTGACTCGATGGCAGTGAGTTTGGTTTTTGGTTTGGTCCCACAAGAAGACAGCCTCATCAAACAGCTGCTGAACAGGCGTTTCTCCAGAGCAGCTACTTGGATGACTGACAAGCTCATGCAAAGATGTTCTATCAGCTACTCGGGAGATGCAAGTCAGAGCCCTCATGAGAGACCAACTCACTCCTACGAGAAAAAACAGAAAACACCAAACATGGGTGAGCTTCTTGGAAAATGGGACTGCCTCATCCACTGCATGTGGGAGTGCAAAATGAAGCCCCATGGTGGAAAACAGATGTTTCCAGAAATGGAGCAGAGCGCTCACGCCTAAGCGAGCAGACTCCACACTAACAGCCAGAGTCCTAGAAGAAGCAAAAGCAGGGTGCAAGCAGGAAGTCGTCTCCTTTGGTTTTTGGTCTGTCGCTGTCGAACTTGCTTGTCCCACTGAATTGGGCTTGCGGGCAAAGAAGAAGTCGTGTGAGGACATGTGCCGCTCCGAGGCAACAGGTTTAAAAACCGTAATCATGACCCTGGAGGGCTCCCAAATTTGGAAGGCAGCTAGGCTCGCCACGATACCAACAATGCGGATGGGCTCCCAAATTTGTACCCGGGTTTTTGTCTTGCCCATTTCATCACAGCCTCACCCACACTAGTTGCTTTCATTTCCCCCCCTTTTGTGGTGTTTTTGGTGTTTTAATGTTGTAAGTGGCCATCTCGGTTATCTCACATCCTTCTTCCCATTTGGAATGCTTTCACGTAGGGTTGTTTACTTACTTGTTTTTTTTTTCTATTTTTGGCAGAAGGAAGGGCATAATGTGGATGAATCATCAGCCCCCAGGACTCCCCGGAAGCAAGGGCCACTCCGGGAGAAAGCCGGACAGCCGGAGCAGAGGGATGGCTCTAACCAAGGCCCCAACGGCTGTCCGCTGGGAGGCACAGTGGCAGTGGAGTCCCTGTGTACTGGTGGCATCACTGTGGAAGATGGCGGAAGCTTCCAGAAAGTGTGGGCCACCATGTTTGAGCATCACGTTGAAAGGCACAGTGTGGGTGGGCAGGCGAGATGCTGCCCCTCAGCCACAGTCCTGGGCGATGCACCTGACACCCACGCCACAGGGGGCAGGCCCAAGCCCGACAGAGGCTCTTGGCTGGGCACGGTCTCACCTGGAAAGACAACCCCCAAGAAAGACAACGCGGGGCAGCTCGAGAGGCCCAAGGTGGAGAAACTGGGACGGACTGACCTTTCAAATAGTAAGCTGACGCGGGACCTTCCAGAGCAATCTCCTCAGGGGGAGAGGTGTAATAACACCTTCTGTAAGCCCTTGGAGAACCTGCCCACATCGCAGAGGGTTGAGCCGAGGCTTGATGTGGCGCACACCGTGGGTGAGCGCGCCCATAGTGAGGCTGTCCCCACGGCTCCCGAGGAGAAGGCTGTGAGCCTCCGGAGAGGCACGGGTCATCTTGTGCTGGAGAGGCGGCTGTCGCTCCAGGTGCCCCCTGTTGCCCCAGAAGGCAGTGTGGAAGGTCCACCTGTGTCCGTTCAAAGGGCCACCTTGATCTGGGAAGCTCGAAGCACCCATGGGGCCACGGGACTGAGGCCTGATGTCCGAGAATCAAAGGATGCGCATAGGCAAAGTTGCTCACCACCCAAGTGCACAGAAGGGGTTTCAGTGATCTGCAACAATGCTGCCCTGCTGGGCAGTGAGGAGGGAGCCTCGGCCAGGGCCTGCCTGCCGGAGGCCTCCACTGTGAGGGTGGCCAAGGCCAGCGTCCATGAGGTCCAACCTAGGGGCCAAGAAGGAACCAGAAACCAGTTGGGAAGCGACTGTGTCTCCAGGGAAGAGAGTGGTCCACCCCGGGGCTGCCCTCGAGACCCTCCTTCCTGGGCTCAGGACAAGCTCTTTGACATTCCAGCAAAGGCAGGTCCAGGCTCGTCACCCTTGCAGAAGGGGCCTCTAATCACGGCCACCGGCAACAGCAGCAGTGACCCCAGGGACCTGGAAGCGAGGGTGCAGAAAACGAGTAACTCGGACCAGAGAATGGAGAGGTGGCGGCGTCGGACTTTGCCGCATGATGTGAAGTTTGAGGAGTTCAGCTTCCTGGCTTCAGAACCCTCTACAAAGGGGGGGCCGAGGCAGGCTGGGTCGGTGGCCTCCAAAGCTGGTGCCCTGAGGAATCCTCCGCTGTCCCACGATGGGCTGAGTGCCCAAGACGTGAGCCCAGGCATGTCAGCCGGCCAAACGCTTCCCCTGGGAAAGCCAAGGTCTCCCGTGGAACCGAAGGCCACCTTCTTTGCAGTCACGTATCAGATTCCTGATGACCACAAAGCCAAGAGTGTTGTGAAGCCGGGGCTGGAAAATGTGACGGACTATCCAAGCAAAGCCCCTCGGCCGCTGTCATCTCATCCTGTCGTGTCCACTTCAGCTTCTCTTCACCACCAAGAGCATCGGGAGCCTCTGGGCAGCGAGAAATGGACCAAGGGCAGGCAGAGTGAGAGTGCTGGCCTTTCAAAGAACTGGAAGCCAGGTGAGCGTCGACCTCCTCCTCTGGGGGATAAGGTTCCGGATCCCTCCATCATTGATGTCGACGCTTTCCGGCTTTACCAGGGCTCGGCAGGTGGCGCCACTGGTTTCCAGAATGACAGGAAGGACGGTGGGAATGAGCTGGCCTCCAGCGACACTCTCCAAACCACCCCAGCTTTCCAAAGGCACTCGAAAGCCGGCCACCTTGTCCGACGGAAGACCGTTGTGGTCAGCGAGACATTCCTAGGCCAAATCAAAGATGGCTACCGATCCACTGTCCTGGACATTGATGCTTTGATGGCCGAGTACAGGGAGCAGGCGGCGCGAGGCCCAGGAGAGGTACAGGAGCGGGAAGAGAAACCCGTGGCTGACGTCAGCAGCTCGTCCCCGTGGAGCCGGGGCCATCGAGGGGGGTTGGAGCGGGGTGAGAAGAGTCCAAAGGGGACACCCCAGACAGAGAGGGTTTGGCAACAGGCCAGGCTGACGGAGAGAGACCACAATCCCATTAAGCAGCCGGCTGATAGCCTGGACTGGGCCCCCAACACTAAATTTAGCCCTCCCCTCTGGTCTTTGCCTGACCCCGCTCCTGAAACACCCATACGGACCTTGCCCAAACCCGGGGCCCCCAGGAAACGCGCCACAGGAATCTCTGGGGAGAAGAAAGTCTTCGCTAGTCGGCACCATAGCACCACGTGTCCAAGCCACCCAGCCGATTCCAAGGCCTCTGGTCAGAACGAGCTGGTCAGGGGACCGAAGGAACTGGCCAGGTCACCCCCTGCTGACCGGAAGAGAGGGACCCTGAGGAGATCTGTTGGGAGGGGGGATGAGGGCAACAGTGGGGCCCAGTGGAGGGACCCCCAGAGGACCAGCAGGAGGTCACCACTGGATGTCAAGCGGGCCTTTTCGGAGAAGGGTGCCCCCACCCAAATCCAAGAGGGCCTGTGCATCCTGGAGGCAGCCCGAGAGAGGAGACGTGAGGAGATGGAAGAGAGGCCCGGTGGCCCCAGGGGCAGTCTGAAGGCCCAGGAGACCAGAGTGGAGCCCTGGAAGCGGGAGGCGGGGACCCAGGGCGGCCACAAGGTAAGAAGGCCATTTCCACTTTGTTAGATGTTGAAACTTCACAACAGCTCCAGCCTCAAAGCCTTGTTCCGAAGCACCTGGAAGCAATGCTCCCTGGTGGTGTTGTGGTTTGCGTTGGGCTAGCTGCTCTGTGGAAGAAAGACCCCGTAAGGAATGGCAGTCTCGGAGACCCGCGGGAATGTGTGTTTATTCTGAGCATGGCTGGGAACCCAGGAGTATCTAGTCAGGCGTCCCTATCATTCCCAGCTCCACTTGCAGGCGCCTCAAACGTGGGTTAGTGGGACAGGTTTGGCCCATCCCCATCTCCTACTCTTTGTGGGGAGGGGTGGCAGAGGGGAGAGGCCATGGCGGTGGGCCCGTTGGCTGTGGAAAGGTGACATTGAAGGGTCGGAAGGGCACCTGGCCTGGCCCCATGCCTGCAGGGCCAGCCTTGGCTGTCTACCCTGAGCACATAGGTCCCCCAGGAACCCTCGTTACCAGGGGAATCCTTGGCCCGGTTTTGTGCATCTTCCTTCTCTCCTCCCCAAAGAACCTCCGTTCTTTGTTTTTGGAAGGAAAAGGGAAATATCACCCATAAGATGTTCCACATCCACACCTTACTAAGCCAAACCCAATCCAGGCCAGTCAAGTCTGTTCAACGCACAGCGACCCCTTGTAGTAGAGAGCAGAAGTGCTTTGCTCCCTAAAGCTTCCTTGGTGGTATACTTTCTGAAAGCCAACTGCCAGGCCTTTCTTCTGCAGCACACCAGCTGGGTTTGGCCCTTTGACCCCTAGGTTAGCAGTTGGGTGCAAACTGTGCCACCTGGCATCCTTTCAGTCTTACGAAAACCAAACCTATTGCCATTCAACGAGTTGACCTCAAAGTGAGGTCTCAAAGTGACCCTTTAGGACAGAGGAGAGGGAACCCCTGGGGTTTCTGAGGCTGTCAATCTCCACATAAGTCAATTGCCTCATCTTTCTCCCTCTCAGCTGTTCCAGGATTCACTGACTTTGAGTTGGTCTGCTAGCCTCAACGTCGGCAGTTCAAACCCATCAGCTGCTCTAAGGTTCTTACCAGCTGATTTTTTGGGGGTGGGGTGGGGGGAATGTGGTCCGAAAAAGTTCTCGAACTACCAACATTTTATTTAGCACCAGAACACTTAACTATTGTGTTGCTCTTCAAGGACTGTGAGGGTCCCCAAATAAAGATAAGCAGAGGGCATGTGAGAGGTGATATTAGGGAGCCAGACGTGCTCTTCATGGTGCGTACCCCACCCTCCACCCAAACTTTGCTTCCTTTACAAAACGAGCCACGTGGAGAACGTGAGACAGCCTGGAGTCTTCATTTACTGACCTGTGAAAATGCTTGCTATTCAGACACAACAATAACAAAACAAACAAACAAATTCACTGCCATGGACTTGATCCCAACACATAGTAATCCTATAGGACAGGGTAGAACTGCCCCAAGGTTGTCGGTCTTTACAGGAGCAGGCAGCCTTATATTTCTCATGAGAGGAGGCTGGTGGGTTTGCACTGCCGACCTTGTGATTAGCAGCTGAAAGTGTTGCTTGCTAAGCCACCAGGGCCCCTTTCTAGAGTCCGAGTGGGGGAAATGACAGGGTTCAGATGGCTGTGCGTAGCAGAATCCCAGTTGCCCTCCATTTTCTCCAGGTAATGGCGAGGGGGCTTTTAAAAAGTGCACGGACAAAGCCCCCTTTGAAGCTGGCTACACACTCGTGTGTGTCTGAATGGGTTTGGTCCTGGTGAGCGCTCATAGAGTCCCCACATGTGACAAGTGGCAGGAAACAAGGCTGGTGAGAGCCCAGGGGTGCACGGTCAGGCACTCACTTACTAACCACCCAGTGTCTGGCGAGCCCATAGGATGAACCAAACCCACTGCCTTCAACTCCATCTCATCTCACTCCCAGCAACCCCCAGGACAGCGCAGAACTGCTCCCTCAGGTTTCCAAGTCTGTCCATCTTTATGGGCACCGACAGCCTCCTCTTTCTCCCGCAGAGTGGTTGTCGAGTTCAACGGGCTACCCTTTCTGTTAGCAGACCAGCCCTCAGCCCACTGCACTCCCAGGACTCCATCCTGCAGAGGTTACAGCTTAGGACACTGTGGTGACATTCTACTATGAATTGGAATCAACTCCATGACGTTTTGGGTTTTTTCCTCCCTGGTGGTGACATTGTGGGTTAAGTTTAGGTGTGGGTGATCTAAATCCACCACTCAGGGAGAAAGATGAGCCAGTTGGACTCCCGAAGAGATTTGTGCACTGTCTTAGTGGGTTGCTGTGAGTTCAAATCTACTCAATGCCTGGCAAGGCTGAGGCCAGCCAGGCCAGCCCCAAGCAAGTGCCCAGGGCGTATGCAGTCTTCCCCCTGGTGGCAGGACGGCATCATGC